ATATATATATATGTGTGTGTGTGTATATATATTTATAAATATACATATTACGCACAAGGCAAATAGCTTTGTGCATTATATATACCGCAATATGATAGTTATGATAGTACGCGAAAATTAAATAGTAACTTGATGAGATCCGATTAAGAGCCTGCATCCTGACAGTATTCAGAGAAACGTGAACGTAATCACGAAATCTACAGATTTTTAATTGCGTGTTAAAAGTAACTTATCTAACTAGATTATTCCATGTAAAAAGTAATACCAGAATCCATCTTTGAAATACTTTTCCTGCTTTTTCATTTTCACAAGATTTAGAGGGGAAAAAAAGAAAGAAGAAAGAAATTAATACAAATATAATAGATTTTTGAGACTTTCGAGGTATATTTAATTATCGTTAATGTAATTCTTTCTCTTCATCGAACCATTTTTACGAAGAACACTGCGTTTCAAATTTTCAAACGTTTCTTCCTAATCGGTGATACTCGAAGGAAAGTTTATATTTCTTACGTTTCTCACCATTTCTAATTTAAAAAACCTTACGGATCCGTCTTCGTGTCACAATTTCTAAACGTAGATCCTTCCAATTTAGCGACTACCTAGCGAGCTTAAATCATAATCGTATCAATGCGTAGAACAAAAATGAGTAAAACAAAGAAAATGGAAATGAAAAAGAGAAGAAAAAGAAAGGCAAAGATGCGGGTGCCTTTAAGATCTTGTTCAAGCTAGTCGTAACAATTAATCCGTCATATGTAAGGGGTATGTAACGGAACTCCAGGATTAATTATGTTCTTTTTTGCTACACATGAGAGAGCCAGACATCGAAAAAGCCTTATTATGATACATTAAATAACGAAACGCAGAAGTAATTATATAGGGCCAAGACTAATAGGATATAAGTTTTTTAACGTCACGCTACTCATGGTAGAATGTATAACTGTTCCGTAAAACAGTGATTTGTACCGAATCGTAGTTCTCAAGAAAGCGCACCATTTCTATTAAAATATTGACAGACAATTGATTCGTGGCTACCGACCCGTCCTTGAATCACGTTTGTACAGATTATTTCCTTCTTTCTCTTCTTTTTTAACTGCCTGCAACTATGTTATACAAATAACTCGAAGTACATCGCGTTGATTATATTTGTCTGCAATATTTATCTAATAATGTCGATAAACATGTTTCCTTCCTTCCGCATTGCTGCAGTAATGATAGATGTAAGAAAAAAAAAAAAAAAAACTGTTCATGCATTGTGGGAGTTGTGTAAAGTTAGTTTAGGACAATTGCTTCATTCACGTGTTCACATCATTCATGTCATGTTTCCTTGAAGAATTGTTTGCCGGTTGATGTAATATAATTTGTACTTTATTTAGAGGAAGATTGACTTATTTTACTATTACTGCAAGCTACGATTGTTGAAAGGACTAACTAATATTATTATATACAGATTGAAACTTTTTACTTACAAAGAAAGAGGTAAAAAGAAAACGGAAAAAATAAACGTACTAAAGAAATAATTAAATTTTAATAAAATACATCGTAAATTTTGTCTCGTGATGAAAAATTCGGCAAGTGATGAATATGACGCGTACCACAAACAATAAAACTTGTGTATTAGTAAAATAATCAATCGGAAAATTGTATAAAGAACTGTATTTTACAGTGGAGAATTGTACATTTTGTTGTATATTATTTTCACTCAATAATTGTTATATATTCATAATGATCTGTGTACTGTATTCACAACCTTCTATGTATTAATTTAAACGTAATAAATATTTCCATTTCGTAAAAAAACGCATTAGGATAATTATTACTCCTTACCAACAGGAAAATTTGATCCTTAGTCTCCTACAGTTTTTTTTATATTAATCTTAAACTTAATATGATATTGCATAGGTTTCTATTTTTATGTTTCAAATATTTTTTTAATTTAGTAAAGATATAAGGAATAAAATATTAACTTTTTCAAACTTACCGACATCATAAAAATTTATGAATAATAATTCTATAGGACGATCACTCGTTAATGGATCTAGAGCCGGTATCAGTACTCAAATACAATTTAAAATGGCAACAAAGATCCTATGTCCTCACAGGATAATTTAATGAATGTTTGCAATGATTGCATTTGCATACCTGTATGTATGAGCTGTAAAGTTTCAAGTGTAACGTTTTCTGAATAGGCGACACTGTCTTTCAGTTCATTAGGAATCAAATCACTCTATAGATGTCGCAGTTTGATTCGACTCTTTCGGTTTGTTTGTAGTTCTATACGTTCTTACTCTCGCTGATTAATTTTTACCGATAAAGTTGTAACTCAATAAATAACTAATAAACCACTACTAAATGAATATGATGAATACATTTCGATTTGTTTGTCAACGAAATATCCATCAAATTCGTCATTTTCACAAATGGTATGAATTAAAATTTTAGAAATACACAGTTAAGTGAAACGTGATTGTATAACCTCACTTTTCTGATACTTTTAGAAAGCATATATATTTTGTAACATTTTAAAAATAAAATATAATATACTATAATTAAACAAATTGAATTTTAAAATATGAATGATATAAGATATAAGATATATGAATAATAGTGGTTTATTCAATTTTATTTTAATTCTTATATTTTTTAGTATTATTCGACAAAATTCTGCTGCAGCAGTAAGTACTGCTACAGATAGCTTATCAGAATCTGTTTCTACAAAGGATGAATTAAAAGTTAGCTCTAAAGTAGAACTAATTGCAAATCAAATTGTTACATTGAATCTTATAGAAGTAAGACAGCTGAGTGATTTACTTAAAAAGCAATTAAATTTACCAGATGCACCTATAATGTCTATGGGTACTGTTAATGCACCAAAGCCAGAAGTATATATATTCCTTATGCAATAAGAATATTTTACAATAAAAAAAAATTATATATAATATTGTGTAATACTATAACATATAATATTATCATTTTAGGAAGATGAAGAAGAACAGCCTCAAATTGTACAGACCTTATTTAATGTTAAGTTAACTGGTTTTGATGAGAAACAAAAAATTGCTCTAATAAAAGAATTGAAAAACATATTACCAAACTGTAATCTAGTACAGGTAATTTCTATTAAATATATGTAACATTTTATCAAGGATATTTGGTTGTTTAATTGTACTTTTATCTATATAGGCCAAAAAGTTTGTGGATAGTGTACCAAATACAATCAAAGAGGATGTAGTAAAAGATGAAGCTGAAAAATTAAAAGAAGTTATCACAAAAGTTGGTGGAGTAGTTGAGATTGTTTAATTTTTTATGTAAATATAAACCTAAAAATTTATTACATACGTTTAGTAAAATTTTATAATAAAGTTTACACTTTATTATAACAATTGGTTAAAATAAAAATAAAAACAATATTATGTGTAAGACAGTTACTAAACAATTACCAGATTTTTAATATCCTATTATTTTTTGTACTCTAATATGAAGATTTCTAAGTCAATTTCAAAAGCAAAAATAACTACATATTTCAGTTCTAGTGTAAAATATACGAAATAGTACAAAAACCATAATGAAATAAAAAAGCTATAAACTTAATATCTTTGTTTCATTCCTTAATCCCGAAAAGGTTTCATAAATAGCAAGATAGAAAATAATATTAATTAAAAAAATTGCAATTATTAGCAAACATTATCCATTTTTTAATTTTATTCACAGTTAATCAATATTTTTTTATGTGTATTTGAACACGTATATTTAAATTAAAAGCACATGTGCATTGTTAAGTTGATTTGCATGCAAAGTACTGCATTTCAGTAAATCAACGAATTGAACTGACGCTGCGATAACAGTCATATCGATAAAATAAGGGACGTATCAACAAACTATGTCAGTACACTCTTTTTACTTTTCTATTTAATAATAGAAGAGAAGTACAAAATTTATGATTAAATTTCAAGAATAATATATTTTAAGACCATATATTTACAAAAAATCTATTTTTATTTGTAAAACGAAAATAGTAGGAAATTTTTTTGTTGGTCAACGAATCTAAATGGAACACGAATTGTGACGGTACTGCGCCACGACGACTATTGCCACGATGGCCGAGGAGACTGATACAAACGATAAAGCAACGATGGAAAGTATAGCGCAAAATATACTCGAGGTTCGTGTCAGCCGTGATCAGGACAGTGCGTGAGAACGTAATAGTGCCTTTCGAAGTCTCGAAAGAAATCTTGGTACCAGCAACACCATATTATCCCGGGCTTTTTCGATCATTTTGACAGGTCAGTACCGGAGGTGGATCTGCGTCGAACGAAGTAGCCGCATTAGAGTTTCAAGCTTCTCAAGTAATCTCGAGGCTCGAGGAAGCTGTAGAGAGGGCAGCCGATGGTGGCGGTACCACTTGGAACAATCCCTCGGGGTTTCTCTCGCAATCGAAAACTTCGGACGAGATATTAACTTTAATTCAGGTAAATACAACGCTAGCAGAAACCATTGATTAACAGCTATTGGTTGTTTCTCTTAGATTTGCGTCCTGATTGGTTGATACTATTACGATCTTGGCGACTACCCATCACGTGGATGTATGATTATTGCGAATCGGTTAACTGTTCTTATAGAATTATAAGCTGGCGGACTTTTTTAAAATTTTTGAAATTACCATAATGCCAGAAATCGTTAAATACCAGCAACTTTAACGGTATAAAGTTAAAAAAATGATACTTTTGAAAAAGCTGGAAATCCAAATGTAGTTTATTTTACAGGATTTAGTAATTCACGAAGACGCTCCACAACTAGTCAAAGACGGTTCAACGGAAACGGCAGCGAGTCAAATAACCACTTTACCGACATTAACAGAGCCAGCAAAATTAGCGTTAATTGCACACACTATTTCTGCTTACGCGCTTGCACTTCCAAAATCTCACGCTCAGAGACTAGCTGGTCGATTGGCCGCCGATACGACCAGATGGTTAAGTCATATCTTCCGTTTTGTCGATTGTGCCTCTTCATTTCACGAGGATCACCTGGAAGGTTTGGTCAGAGTTACAAGATTAGCTCTACACCGAAAGTATCCTCGATATATGGAGGAAGGTTTCACAGCCCTTGCAACTTCTCCACCTTTAATTTACAGTTCTGTGGCAGCACCTTTAGGTGTGGTTCAACACCTGTGCAAGCAGGTATATGAACTTATATTGCTTATGTAAAGAAAAGTGTAGACATGATCATATTATCTACATTCTACTTTATAGCTCTCTTTGCCACTCCATTGTGTAAGGCCCATCCCCCATAACACAATGTTCGGTTCCCGATATAGTATGGATGTGTCAGCACTGGAACGTAGATTGGTAGAAGATACACAGTCAAGTAGTGTGACACCGCTTCTGGTACTAGCAGAAGCAGGTTCAGTATTAACCGGACACTGCGATAATATTGCTAGATTACGTGCAATTTGTGACAAATATAATGTTTGGCTCCATCTCAGAGGTCATTCATTAGCTGCATTAGCATTAAATAATTCTGCAAAGGATTTGGTGTGTTCATATTTGATATTTATTTTCTAATATCCTTTTTACATTAAAAGTGTGTAATAAGGACATTTTTCATTTTTAGCCTTCGAAGATCGCAGATAGTGTTACATTACTTCTTGGAATATGGCTTGGTATACCATCCTTGCCAGTAGTTGTATCCTTTTAGATATATGTTCGAAAAAACTGTTTCAATATCATTGAAGATAATATTACATTTTTCCTTAATATATACATAGACATTATATAGATTAACAGATACAAAGGGAGGTCGTCCAACTCCGAGAGACACAACTTTATCTTTGGTTTCGGGTTTAATGACTGATTCGTTATCGAAACGTTTACCAACTTTGCCATTGTGGGCTGCATTGCAAGTCTTAGGTAGAGACGGTGTACATAATAGGTTGAAGAGATGTTTCTTAGCTGTGGAAGAATTATACAATAAACTTAAGAAATTTTCTTGTATAAGGATATTGGTAATTTATTTAAGCATCAACATCCTATTTCACATTGAAGTTTCAATTTATGTCACATAATTTATTTTTTAGAGTCAACTACCTGGCGGTGAAACAGGGTCCTACACTATAAACGAGCTTTTAACAAATCCCGTGAATAATCCACAGCTATTCGAAGCTGTGGCCAGTGCATTAGTATTCCAATTTGTGCCTGCGGATAGGGATCCACAGACAACAGAACGTGTTCCTCCTTATTACGACAAACTTAATTCCTGGTTAGGACAAATTCTACAACGAGACATCGAAAACGTACAAATAGAGCTGTGTGAAATAGAACATCACGGTATTGCTATTCGCATTTGTCCTTTAGAGAATCCAGAACAACCTCCTTCAACCGAGGATATAGATAATGTAGTAGCTTGTTTGGAACAACAGATAGTGAGTTTATTATAAATGTGATAGCTATACGTATTAGTTAATAACAAAATGATGATTTGTTAACTAATTATTGTAATTTGCTTAATAGGAGATATTACAAGCAACGGTTGAACATAAAGCAACATTTGTGCGATTGGTTTCGGAAAATGATTCTTTACATTTGGTAGAAATGCCTGGTTGGGCTGGTTTAGGCGGTGTACGATACGCACCTCCTACTTGGATCCATGTCATGACTGATCAAGCGAAAGAGGAATTGAACAGATTAAATACGCAGTTGGTTGAAGCTTTGCGGAACACAGATGCGGCATTTTCTTTAGGGGAAGGAGCCGATGGCTTAGCTTGTGTTCGATTCGGAATGGTTACGCAAGATACAGGTAAATCAATATTTATTTTCTTGCTCTTAATTTAAATTAGTATTACCTAATGTACAAATATAAAATGGAACAAATGTTTTCCACAGATGTGGCCGAATTATTATCTTTAGTTCTACAAGTTGGCCAAGAAGTGGAAGCAAGTTCTAAATTATTGGATACTATATCTGAAGTGGTAAAAAGAGGTATCGAAGCAGCGCAAACAGACTTGGAAAGAGAAAATGCAGAGAAATTATGGCAAGAAGGTATTCTTAGACATGTCCCTGTTGTGGGCACTTTTGTCAATTGGTGGAGTCCTCCATCAAAAGAAACTGGAGTTCGTGGACGTAGTTTAAATTTACAAGCTGGTACATACCTTTCATCTACAGATCATAATTCCTTTCAATTCATAGTTATTGTAAATTAATAATATTATTTTCAAATACAGGAGTCGTTGAGAGTACAGAAAACATTTACAAGTATCACATGCAGTTACAACCTAACTCCACGGTAATCAATGGATCTGGTGCTAGAACTCCACCACAGCCTCTTGTACAAACTCCAGTTGGTACAAGTAGTCAAAGTCACAGTCGTTCATCGAGCCATTCTAGTGTGCAGAGCGACAATAGCATCTCTGTGATCACAAATACTGCCTCTCATCCCCCTCTTTCACCAGTGAAAGAGGAATCTAACGAAGTGAAGTCGTAGTGAACCGAGAATACGGTTAATCGATAAAAAATTCAATTCATTAAATTCAAGTTTGCGGACTTGGCAAAGGAACAATGCTCTAGGTGAAACGATCGAACGTTTCCGGTAGAAGCTACCCTTTACATTCGCAGAGCACAGCAAAAGAATTAGCATCCCTAAAGCGATACGTTGAAGAGCTTGATAAGTTGACAAAGGTAAAGATGCGCTGTTCGCTGTCATCCTTTTCGCAATAAACTATTTTACGTTATTTTTCTGTCATTATACATAAATCGTATTATTTTTTCTTTTTTACCTCTTTTTTTGTTCTTTCTATCAATGATTTAATTTCAAAAGCATATTCAGAGTTTATTAAACATGGCTTATGTACTTACTAAACTGATAACGAGTAAGGAGGTTATTTTTACAATGAATTCATTTGATAATAAATATTAACTATTCCTCATTTCTTAAAACATTTCTCCCGTAGCACAATAATCTGATGCATATTTTATTATTTTTATGATGCAACTTTAAAAAGTTGATCCTATGCATTTTCAGTTAGTTGATATAATATTGAACAAGTATCAATATTATAATATAAAATTAAATAAATTAAACGATAAGCTAATTAAGTTTTCAATGACAGTGTTTTACACCGACTTTATGTGCACATATGTTCTCAATAAATTTTTCAACCAGATTTCCATTATAGTTTTGCAGTTTTTACATTCCGAACTGTTTTTATATTTATCAAACAAATTTTTTTATAAAGCACAACGTATATTAAGAATGGAAAAAGACATACATATAAATTCGCGATTACTTTGAGCATTTAAATCAATATTACGCACGCGTTGTAAAATTACGCGAGAAAGTTAAGCTTTCTTAAAGATCCAACAAAGCGGGTAAAAAAAGGAGTCACAATAATGTTCCGATATTCAAATGATAACCAAAGAGACACATAGGTTTACATTCAAATAATTCGAATTGTTACTATGTAATGATATGTAATTTACGGCGGAATAGGAATTTTGTCAAGTTTAAGAAAAAGAACAAAAGACGTTCATATTACTATAATATTCAATAAATTGTTGATAGATACATTGAATAAAAAAAAAAGAATTAAACTGTATGTATATTTATGTACTAAACTGTTGTAATAAAGTATTGCAATTAAATAAATAATTCGAGAATAACTTTAAGTTTTCAAACATTTCTTTAAATTGAAATTCAGATTTATTAAAGATTGTAAATTGTTCCTTCACGAAAAAACAATTTCAATGATTATCCTTAAAAGAAAATCTCGAGGTACACGTGTTTATTCTTTTTCTTTGAATACGGAAATACGAAAAAAATTTTAATTCAATTAAATTTAAATTAAATTCAAATACCTAAGTTATATAATATAGTAGGAGCAATGATGCTGAACGTACACAACCGTGGATCTTATGTTTTTTTATTTCTCTTTCCATAATATTCGTGTTACCATTACAATAGGAGGAATTAAGTCTGAAATATGGCAATTAGACGTAATTCGCAATGCACAAAAACGGTATCGATTAACGAGTTTCGTTTTGCTTTTTATATATGCCTCTCAAAGAATTCTCTTTACAATACACGCTTGAAAACGTTTCTTTTCGCGCGTACAAAAACACCATAGAAATCTTAAACTTACGTAAAGTCTCAATAGCCTCTGCACACTTTGTGAATAAATCTCTTTCGCACGTCGAGAGAGAAGAAATGCAAAAACAAAGAGCAACACCCTACAGCTTTTCGCGAATTAATATTTGGAGGCCTAAAGATTTCAGTTGCACTTCTTTTTTGGTCGAACGAACGAATATCGATGCACACTGAACGATCGTGTCAACATTTGTTCCTAGCAAGTGCGTACATTGTGTCTTGAACTGTACAGTGTGTGCAATTCAGTGCGATTTTTTCGATGGATCGATGTCTTAGCTATAATTTATGTGTGTGAAATATAAAATGATTACTTACTATTAAATGTAACATTATTCGATTAAATCCTGCTCGATATTCGTTTAGATAATGCTAAGAAATTTATATATTTATCGCAGAAATTTGACTCGTGAAATTATACACACTGTATAGCCTAGTGTATCAAACAAGTTTATCTGACGTAAATCTCAAGGTGCATAAAAAACATTTAGGTCTCCTAAATGTAACTTCAAAAAATTTATATCTTAATTAAATGAAACTTCAGCGAAAATTCGCAACGTTCGTTATTTTTTTTTTTTCTTTTAATTTATTATTCGTTTGATTTATTGAGATTAGTATTTAAAAAAAATCTATTTTATGTAAAGAGAAAGCGCACGTAGTAATAAGATATTATGTCGTGCGAAAGCGTCACTTTTCGAAAATCGATCGTACATTCGTTGCGAAGTCAGTTTCGAAAAATTAGCTCTTGCGAAAGTTGAAACACCTTATTCGATAATGTTATTTGATTTGTTTTTTCCTCTTATCATCTAACCCTTTTAATGTTCTTAATTGAATTAATTAAAAAGTTTTATAGGCCAGAACAATGCACCAATTAGAGAAGTTTCTTTACGTCCTATAGTCACACTATATTTCCACTATGTATATATATATATATATATCAATGCTTCTGAAAATAATTAATTCTCTCTCGCTCTCTCTCTATCGTACATTCGTACACACATGCTTGCATACGTACGTTTGGACTCTTAACCTCCATTTTTCTCTCTCACTCTTTCTCTCTCCCTTTCATACAATTACTGTATCAAAATGATGCGAAAATTAAATGCGATTGTACTCATTGGAAAAAGTAGTTCTCAACTTCATCTCGCACAGGTTCTTGTCCGATACGATAATACAAATTGACAAACGATTGGAATCGAAGTTTCGCCAACAATCGTCTAGACTACGCACTCGTATATTTATAATTTATCGATATTTCTAGTGTCACGTGAATTCCATGGATCGTTCCCCTTCTTTGAAGGATGAGGGTTTTCTTAGACTTTCATGTCAGGCCGATTATGATTCGATTATTCGAAAATATGTTTTCTGTGCAAGATACCTTTCCCCTTTCTAATACATATGATCCTCTCGACTCGCGTGTCTTGAATTGTTAAAATCTCTTTTTAGAAGATTTTTTTATAAAGTTTCTGTAGATCCGGAGAATACTGTATTGATCCCGTTTGCGCATTTTATAACAGTCTTAAACGACAGAGACGAAAGTTCGTGATTTTTCTTTCGACTGTCTCGTGTCAACCGTGTTCACAGTGTCCCTTCATTTGCTTTTTTTCCTTTGCTCCCTCTACTTCTGACTATCGTACTAAAATTTAGATACTCTATCACTCATTTATTTCGATCATTTAAATAATACTCAATTCCCTATACTGAGCAATACTGATACGACGGAGTCAATAAAATATATGACAAAAACAAAAATGCAACTGATAGCAAAATTTCTGCTTGTCTTTTATCAATTACATATCTCTTATAGTATTAAGAAAGCAAAACGTAAAAAAAAATGTATATATTTTTACAAAATAAAAAACAGTTGCAAAATAAAATATAAATTATTTCGACCCCATCTTATCAGCCTAAGACACAAAAGGGACACTGAAGATCATGCCGACTTATATTTTGCTTCGTGTATTCGAGATTAGCAAGTTCACTTAAGATCTAAATTCTTGACTGCCGATAATTAATTACTAATAGAGTAGCGAAATACAATAATTCGAGAAACAGCGAACTGTTTTCTAAAAATTGAGCCGTGTGAAAAAAATTTGGCAAGAAACTCTGTCGTATGCAACTGCTGGACAAAGTCGAACATGTACGAAAAGAAAAATGTTTTTTTTTTTCTTTTTTTCTCTTTTTTTTACTGACTAGGATGTTTCTCCTCTTCGATAAATTCAAGGAAACGAAGTTCACACATACACT